CCCGCCTCAATGGGAGGTACGGGACAAAGGAGTGGAGCAAGGAGCTGGCGAAGAATCAGTGGGCGATCCTGAGGAGGAAGTACAGGCAGGCCATCACAGAGATTAGGGAGGTGGAGTCTATTGGAGGGGTTGACGGTGGAGGCATTAGCAACAGTCGTATGGGCAGGGTAGGGGTGAAGGAGAGGGAAGATAAGATCGAGAGGATAAAGGAGCGGGTGCCGAATTTTGAGAGGGTGCATACACTAATGGAAAGGTGTCCGGCTTTGTTGGCTTGAACGGAGGGACGGATGATTGAGACGCGCGTTTTACTATCCATGCTGGGGCGGTCCTTTTTTTTGTTGTTGATGTGTAGTACATATGCGGGCACGTTTTTAAGGAAGTATAAATGTTGTATAAAGCGATGTCGTCTTCTTGTCATATGTTACATTATCAACACCCTTGCCAAAGAGGAGCACGACAGTACGTGCAGAGTATCCCGTTACATCCCATTGGGGTGATGACAGAATCATCCTCGGACAACGCCGCTCCCCATGACATTTAGCGGCGTTGATCGTCCAAGGAAGTTGCGCTGACGGGGACCACATTCCGCAGCTACCATTGTGACAGCGGATGATGAAGAGTGCTGAGGTGTTGCGCTGGATGCCGTTACTGCTACGCCTGCCGCTGACCGTGGTCGCCATTACTTAACATCATTGGCGGACGACGCTACTGGCCACAGACGCGATGCTGTAGCTTGATTGACTCTTTTTATGTCAAGATCTCCCTGCCGTGAATGGTGACCATGTGGCAACAGTGGCAAGGGACAAAGTACGGAGGTGAAAAAAGACGTAAAGAAAAAACGAAGGCACAAGTATGTATGGAGGCAGAAGTCGTAAAAAATCAATAAAAATATACTGTTACTCGCTGCTCATCGCCCAACGTGGGGGTCGAACCCACAACCTCAAGATTAAGAGTCTTGCGCTCTACCGATTGAGCTAGCCGGGCTGTTATTATCCTCGCCAAATTTGCTTGGTTTGACCGGGCCCGTTCCGCATACCTCATCACAGTAAGACGCGGATCTCAAAGGAAGGAGCGGCCGGCGAGAATGGCAGAGAGAGGAAGAGCGAGCGCGTGGATGAGGGTGCGAGGGTCAAGAGCTGGGGATGGGGACGGCGAGCGATGGCGAACAGGAGATGCTGGGGCAATCCTACCCAGGCGACCCAAGATGACATCATCCATCGTAACCCTGTGCCGCAAACCATTCTGCGACGCCGGGTGAAGCTGGCCACGATGGGGATCGCTGATCGATCCGTTGTGGGGAGGGGCGTTCTCATTGTGGCGGCGCAATAATTTGATCACGTTTTTTGAAAGCCAGCCAGCCCTGCTTGTGGCAGGCTGCGTATTTGTCACTTATATTAATTCTATTAATTCTACGGAACTTCGCATACAAAACGCGTCCCTCCAAAAAAGCGTCCACTCCACTTCATCCTTCTTTCGACGCGGCCCCTCTCCGCTCCGGAATCCCTTCCTTAAACGGGAGTCTCCCACCCTTCGCGAGAATGGCGTCCAATATCGGAGCCTTCCTAATCTCGTAGCGGAGCCGCGTGGCCTGGATCTCTCGCTCCATGTTCGCCTCCAACTCGCCCAGTAGCTCCCTAAGGTCGTCAACGGACGTGCTCTGCGCGCGAGGTAACATGGTGGGATGCGGGGCCGGTGGTACGGGCTTCTCCTGCTGTGGAGCTGGCGGTAGGCTCCCGTCGGACGCCTGACGCGACTGTCGAGGTACTGGTGGTGACAGCACTGGGTTACCGACTTTCGCGCCACTGGACTGGGACACCGACGCCGATTGCGGCAGCTTCCGTTTTGCGGCCGCGATCGCTGCGTCAGCTGCTGCGACAGCGGCCGAATTGGGGCTCGAGACTGTGGATGGCGTCCGAGCGGCTGGTTTGATCGTGTCCATGCCGGACATGTCCTCGTGGTAGGGTGTGGATACGGAGGAAGTCGGTGGTGCCGAGGTCGAGGCGGTGACGGATGGTGGTGGAGCGGAGTACTGCTGCTGCTGCCGGATGTGCTTCATAAAATCGGGCTGGTATGTATCTGACGAAGAATTGCCCATTACTGCTATCGAGGAATTAGTAACGTGCGTTACTTCCTAAAGCGCTCATCACCAACCCACCTCGCGCCGTGCCGTCATTGGCACCCGTTAGCACCATCGTCCCCGTCTCCTGCACGCTCGAGATGGACCCGGACGAGCTCGACGCTTGTAAACCTCGGCCCAGCACAATCGTCCCCGAATCTCTCGACCCTGCGACCTGCGACACGCTCCAGGCGCCAGCAAGCCTCCCCGCCATCCCCATCGTGATCGTCCCTCCATCGTCCTCACCGTCCGACCGCCCCGGCTCCAGCCCCCGTCCTCCCGGCGGCGATGTCGGTGACACTGCGCCGCTCGAGTCCGTCGCTGCACCCCCGCGCGATGCCGCCGGCGCCTCTCCCTTCCCCAACTTAATGGTCATATCGCCGTCATCGTCGGACCGACCCCCGCCGGGCGTCTTGGACCGCCGCCGCGCGTTTTGCCGCGAGACGGGCCGCGCTCCCCGTTCTCGCGGTCGGGCCACGGGCGCCTCGCCACGGAGCGCGCGGGCCGCCGCCTCGTCCCTCCCGTCCGACCCACCGCTTGTCTCGTCGTCGTCATCATCGTCCTCTTTCCGATCCTCCAACCCGCCCTTCGCAATTGCCTCCAGCGTTTCCTTCACGATGTCTCCAACGGCGTCCAACCCCGGTGCTGATGTAATGAAGGGATCCTGTGGCACCACGTTAAACTCCTTCAAAACAAACGAGAAAGCAAGCCGTGAAAACTCACGGCCATCAAGGTCTCCGCCGTCGGCCTCTCCTTCGGATCCTTCGTTAAACACCTCGCGATGAAATTTCGAAACGGCGCAGAAAACTTGGTCTCGTCCTCCAGCTTCGGGGGCGGTTTTGTCGGGATCATAAAGATCGCTCTCATGGGGTGGATGTTGTGGTAGGGTGGCCGGCCGTCCGCCATCTCAATGCACGTAATGCCCAACGACCAAATGTCCGCGCTCACGCCGTACCCGACCTCTTGGATGACCTCCGGTGCCTTCACGGTCACACTTCAGCAAACAATATGAAGGAAGATAAGCGCACCATCCAGAAAGGCGTCCCAATAACCGTGTTCCGTTTTGACATGTTGTCCGTTAGCTGACCGGCGACACCAAAGTCCGCGAGCTTCGCCTCCCCTCCGTCATTGATCAAGATATTCCTAAAAAAAAAAACAGGAAATCAATGACTATGCAAGACCAACGCCAGTCGACGACGCAACGTACCCCGCCTTGATATCCCTGTGGATCTTCCGTTTCGAGTGCAAGTACGCGAGCCCATGCAACACATACTTGCACACGACGGCGATCTGCCCCTCGTCCAGCGTCTTATGGCACAGGTTCATGATGTCCGACACCGATCCTGCGGCGCAGTACTCCATCACGATCTAGTAATGCCATCAGCAAATGCATATAATCGTTTTCAAAGCTGCTTTGGCCGTACCCAGAGGTAGTTATCCTTTAGGTAGCTTCCATAAAAGGCAACGACATAGTACGACTCGCATCCTGCGGTGACCGACAACAATCAGCGTTACCTCGTCCAAAGAACGCAACCGACCTGTCATGACCGATATCTCCTTCAGCGAATCCTCCAGGTCATTCTCGACGGGAATCCGCTTTATGGCCACGATCTGACCCGTCCGCTTGTGAACCCCCTTGTGGACCGAGCCGTAGGACCTGTCGACGACGATTAGACCACGATGCAGCCGTCAGAGCAAACGGAACCACAGCCCAGCGTACCCTTCCCCAAGTTTACCGACGACTGAGAAGACGTCGTCGGGATCCATCGTCAGCTCCTGCGCCGACAGGATGCTGTTGGCCTGCATGGATGGCGATGATGGTGATCGGACGTCAAAGTCGTCGAAAGTTCAACCGAGAGTGAACGCTCGGTGTCAACGACCAAGACCGACCACCGCTGCCTATGTAAACCGCCAACAGCTATACCCGGGAATCCGACTCTCGCTTGATGTCGGAGCTCACCGCGGATGAGGGGCTGTAGCGAGCGGACGTGTCAGGTCACGGAGTGTCGTTGACCCGTAGCTGCCGGATCTGAAGGCCGAAAACCAAAGCAGACGGAGAAGAAGGATGCGCCCGCTCCAAAGTATGGGATGATAGAGCGACTCGATGGGGAAGCTGGCAGCATAATGACGGGCGCGGAGGTGGAAGGGGTCGAGGAGGCGGATGGGGTGCGCATCGCGACGAGAGGGGCTGGGGGTCGGGGACAGGGACCACCAGCGGAGGGGAGAAGTGACACAACCAAGCAGGTGAGCACAAGTAAAAACGAAGGCGCGGGTACGAATGAGCTGACGAGAGCATCGAAAACTTCGTCGAACATGCATAACAGGTGGCCGAAAGCGTGGATGTCTTCTTACTTCCATAGTTGCCTAGCAGGCTCTCCGAGACGCTGAAGTCGTTCCGTTGAGGCGGCTGGCGCTACGAAGGGAAATACCTGTTTGTTCTCATCCCATTTAGCCCCTTTTAACTTCTTATCCCACTGCTAAAAAAATTTAATTTAAGTTAAGCAGCTTATAGCAAATGTTTAGTGTGCGGATGCGATATGTGTAAGCCAGAAACGAAGTTGAGAAAGTAGGCGATTTTTAATTGTCTTGACACGCATTCCCGCCACCCTGGTCGACCTGATTTATTATGATTGGCGAGCGGCGCTGCTGGCCACTGCGACAGACGGGAACGTGGATGTTTAGTTGCACGGTTGATTCGCCCGTTGCCAAGGCTCCCTGGCGTGGCGTGAATGGCTCCAAGGACAGGAGGTAAAAGACGAAGGCACTAAGTACGGAGGTGAAAAAAGACGTAAAGAAAAAACGAAGGCACAAGTATGTATGGAGGCAGAAGTCGTAATAACTGACGAGATAAATCAATAAAAAAATACTGTTACTCGCTACTCAGCGCCCAACGTGGGGGTCGAACCCACAACCTCAAGATTAAGAGTCTTGCGCTCTACCGATTGAGCTAGCCGGGCTGTTGTCAAACACATTTACCTTAGTGCTATGTATGTATGTTTTCTTGCTTGCAAAAAATGTGTGAGCCTTTGGTCATTTTTCTGCAATTGATTTAGCATGTTCAATCGCCTGTCATGATTTGAGTGTTTGCGTTGCAGTGCAGTGCTTTGTGCTAGTGGTGCTTACAAACAATCTCCCATACCAGCTTTTAATGCCCTCGTTACAACACGCAACAGCTCGAGGTCACGGACTTATGCAAACGGTCGCTAGAACGAGGTAGGGCTGCCTGCCGCGGCTGGGGTATAAAAGGCGCGTGGCGTCCAATTTTTTTTTCCAATTTGGCACGCCTTTAGTTCACGCTGGGACGTCCCCTCCCCGTCCGCGGGGCCATGGCGTGCACCGGCTCTTTACATGGGCAACAAGAAAACGTACACCTTAATCGCGGACGTTCAGTGGCCCCATCGTTCGATCCGTTTCATGATGTGTAGACATCGTCCTGGCGACATGATGTAGTTCTCGAGTTTTGTACATGCTGTTGACCGATATTTGAATTCACAATACACTTAAAAAAAAGAACTGATGATCGTCCCTGGACTGTCCGCAACTGATCGCATGAGTGGTAATTAGACGAAACTGGCTGTCAAAAGAGAAAATGCTCCGCACGACATCCATCACGACGCCAACGCGGTTCCTCCGAAGCCGTCTCCGCACCCTTACGACCCTCCCGAGGTCATCCCCACGTTGTTGTGGTCGTGTGCGGATTCTTTACGCGGTGGAGTCGCGCCGGTTAGCCTCAGCTGTCGCTGGTGGCAATCGCGGAGAGGTGGACGGGTCCATTTCAAAGAAGGCACCAACGACGTCGACGGCCGATCGTATTCGATCGTTGTTGAATTCTGACTCTCCCGCGGCCTCGGAGTCGACCGAAGTTCATGCACCCAAGCGGTCGAGATCGCGAAGCGCGACGAGAAAGCCGGTTCGCCCTCCCGCTATCGGGGAACCACCTCGGGACCTCACCCTTGAGGCTTTCGCGGCCGAGAAGGTAAAGTGGAAAGGTGCCGACGCGCATCGGTTGGCCTTCGAGTACTTTGAGACGCGGTAGGTCACCTGCTGGCCAACGTTCACCATAATCACTCTAACGTGGATGTAAACAGATCGGCATACCTTGCCTCCCGCGAAGACTGGGATCCGACAATCTACACTGGGCTCCTCGAGCCGATGATCTCCCGACGGCCGCGGAAGGGATGGCCGGGCAAGATATACGAGGACATCAATATCGTCGTCACCCACGCGAAGGAGATGGGCCATCCGCTGGAAGCTAAGGTGATGTCGGCGTTGATCAAAGCGCTGGCGGAGGATGACTTGGTCGTGATGAAGATGCTGCGGTTCGAGAGGGGACGGCGCGCAAGGCTGATGGATGAGATGATGGCGACCGCGGCGAAAGGAAGCCCAATCGGAGACGGCGGAGCGGGAGCGAAGGGAACGAAGGGGCCGGCGGACACGGGGCGAACGGAATCCGACTGGTCAACGAAGCACTCTCAAGCGCTCTCGGCACCTTCCGACCCCCTCCTCGCAACCGTGAACCGTAACATCGCGGACCTCGAGCACCAGCTTAACTTCCTCACCCGCGCCCGCCGCCTTTTCGACGAGTCCCTCGCTCGCGAGCTCTCCCTCGATCTCCCTGTGCACGACGCCCTCCTCACCTCCCTCGCCCACCGCGGCGACGTCGTAGGCACCATCCGGCATCACGATGCCCACATGACGCACAACCCTGACCTTCTACCCGGGCCCAAAACCTACGCGGCCCTAATCCTCGCGCATGCGTACGCCGGTGCAGAACACGGCGATCTGCCGTCGGCGCGCGCGTGGTTTGATGCCTACAGGGGTTCAGAGCTCGAGACAGATTCCGTCCCCTATGCGGCCTTCGTGGACGTTTGCGTCGCGCACGGGGACGTGGCGGAGGCCGAGAGGGTTCTAAGCGAAGTCATGGCCGTCGACGGGCTCAAGTTCACGTCGGCGGCGCTGACGTCGTTTGCGGAGGCGTTGGCGATCGCGGGGAGGCATGCGGAGGTGCTGGAGTGGTATGGGTACGCGAGGGATGGGGTGGAGGGATTTCCGAGGGTGACGGATGGGTTGAAGGATGTATGTTTCGCGTCGGCGGTGGTCGCGAGGGACTTGGAAGGCGCGAGGGAGTTCTTTCCGAGCGACGAGCGGAGGCATGTGCCCCTGGCGATGCTGTCGGATCTCGGGCTGGGACTGCTTAGGACCGGGGATGTCGAGGGCGCTGGTAGATGCTTTGAAAAGATCAGGCAGCAGGTCGTCGGCGGGCCGGTGCCGGGGCGTGCGGAGGTGGTCATGGGGAGGGCGGATAGGGCGTTTTTAGAGGAGCTGGTAAAGGCGCGGGAAGACAAGGCGGCGTTAATGAAGGCGGCTCGGGAGTGCTTTGAGCCCGACGACTTTGCGCATGTCGCAGCGCAGGCCATGGGCTTTGGAACCTTTGCTAGCGTGTTGGCCGTCGCGCGCGTCTTGGATGGAGCGTCGATGTCGCAGCAGGCGGGTCGGAACCTGCTCGACAGCTTTTTGCAAGACAAAGGCAGTGATGGGGTGGAAATCGACGCGCTTGGAATGGAGATGTTGTTCCGCGCCTGCTTTGTGGCCAAGAGAAAGGGGATGCTTACCGCCAACGTGAAGAGCGTGCTGGATAAAATCGAAGCTAAGGGCTTAACGATCCCGTTCGAGGTGCTCAAGCTCGTCTTAGAGCTTTTCAAAAAGCAGGGAGCGGAGAAAGCCGTCGCGGGCTGGATTAAGTTCATGAGGAAGAAGGGCGCCATCACTGGACCCCGGATTGACGGCGAACTCATTACTCCCGCCGAGCACGCGAGCCAATCTAAGAAAATAGCCGAGGCGAGCGTGGCCATGAGGCTCGATGAAGCCATTGCAGCATTCGACGACGTTATTGGCGGGGGCAGGTACCCCACCATCCCTGCTACGTGCGAGCTGATCTCGACGCTGGGCAAGGCGGGTCGATGGGACGAGATGGAACGGGTGACGGCGGCGATGTTAAAGGCAATGGAGAAAGGAGGCGTCGCGACCGATCCTTCCACGGATGTCTGGGTTTCGATCAAGTCCGCAGAGATGCTCGGCCATGTGCGGGGCGGGGACTTTAAGGGCGCGAAGGAGGTCATGGATCGGATGATCCAGGATCATGGAAGGGCGCCGTCGAGAATGACCTTGGCGACCTTCCTCGATTCGGCATGCACGGCCGCGAAGCGAGAGGTCTTGCCAGTAGAAGAGGCTGTCGAGCTTGTGACGGACGCGCACAAGGCGCTACAGACCTTCGGAAAGGACTTTGAGCGGACGTCGGCCTGGCTGAACGATCAGGCGTTGTGGGTACTCTCGGTCGCCGGCAAGGCCGACGACGCCTACAAGATGTACCAGCTCATGAGGAAGCTGAAGCAAACGCCGACTAACGCGTCAATGACGGCGCTCCTATCGGCGGTCTGTCGGACCTCCCCAGATCCGACGGCGGCCATGGTGATTCTTGATGACATGGTCGACACCGCGGCGGAGCAACGCGCCACGTACGCGTCCCAACACGAACCACCGAATGCTGACCCGGCCGCGAGGGACCGTCGCCCGCCATCGAACCTTCGCGCGCAAACATTCAACGTCGTCATGCGGATGCAGTTGGATAGGTTCAACGACCCGAAAGCCGCCGTGCGTGTGTGGCGGCTCGCGGCGTCTGCGGGGTTCAGTGTCAGGCCGGACGAGGAGACGCTCGAGCTGCTCGCGAGGGCGCATGCTGGCGGTGGGGATATCTCGACGATGGCGCAACTGTTAGACGATATAGAGTCGAAGAGGTTGCACATGTCTGAGACGGTGTTGGAGGCGCTCGTAGTCGGCATGGTCAAAGTAGGCGGGGGTGAGGCGGTGGGGAGGGCAGTCGGCGTTGTTGCGGGGATCTTGGAGAAGCTGAAGGTTGTTTGGGCGAATGCGAGGGATAACACGCCGAATATGCGGGATTACGATGCGGCGGGACGGGTCCTGCTCAGTACGCCGAATAGGGCTACCTTAGAAGCGGTGTTCGTCGGATGCTTGAGCGTCGGCGACTTCGACAGCGCGTGGAGGTTCTTCAACGCCATCACGGAGTTAAAGGGTGAGTTTGGTAGCTTGTTGTCACTTGATTGCTCTCTAACTTAGCATTTGTTAAATCCAGTGGGGCCACCAACTACAGCCGCAACCGAAGTAATGATGCAAGCCCTCATGGCCCGTGGCGACTTCAGCCTTGCTTCCACTTTGTTGCAAAACATGCCGTCAAAAGCCGATACGGCTAACAATCCATCATTGCTGCCGTGCTACCGCACTTCTAAGACCTTCCGTCTCGCAATCATGGAGGCGTTCAGGCGTGGATTGAAGGAGGACGCGATGGCGTTAATCAAAGCTATGGAAGCGGACGGGCTGCCGGCGGAGGAGGTCTTGGCTGTGAAGAGGGAAGCGAAACTGGTTCTGATTGGAGACAAGGCAGATACAAGCAGGACGGAACAGGCTGCCGCGGCGTAGATGATTTTGTACACAGTCATTGAGTACTAAGGGTTGGAATATTAAATATTGCATTTTGTTTTATTAATAGTCCTACTTCTTTTTTTATCTGAAAAATATAGGGTAACAAACTTTGCAATCACTATGATGTGTACTACATAATATATTGTGTCCTTCTACACTTGTGTGGTGTTCAAGAGCATGGACGGGTGATTGATAGAGGGACGATGCATGCTTGGCGACGTAACTCACAGAGAAAGGCTAGATGCAAGGAGAGAAATGAAATTGGCCAAAAGTGAAAACGTCTATGGAGTCCTGGTCGAATAGAACAAGAGCATTACCACGCAATCCACATCCCCACCACCACGACCGCAACCATCCACTCCATCGCCCTACCCATTTCCATGCTCCCCCCACTCTTCGCTTGGTCCCCCAGCGTCGCTAAGTCCCACAGTCCCACAACTCCAACCCCTTTCCCGTCATC